GGCAGGGTTTGAACAGTGAAGGTGGGGCAGGGACGGGAAAGGAGGTTTATTGACCAAACTTTGTGGTTTCAGCTGCGTTGAATTATTAAAGTAAACCAAGGACCTGCTCTCTGCTGTCAAATCGGGGATTGTGCGTTGAGCCAGAGATGGGTCTTGGAATGTGAGAGAGAGAAATTACTGGCAGGCCGAGCTGGGTTCAAGATGTGAGCCAACCATCTTCGTCCCTGCGGGTCCGTGTCCGAGGGTTGATATTTCTGAGTGAAAGGTGCCGCCTAGGATAGAGTTTGCTACTTTAAAGGTCTCAGGTGATTCATTCAGTTTTCCAGCTACGTTCATTTTAGTAGAGTGTCTGTCTGTATCTGGCTCAGACATGGTTTGGCTGTCCCGTCTCCTTTCCCCTCCTCTCAGAATGATACTTGGACACATTTTATTCCTGGGAATAACCCACACACACACACACACAAAGGTTTCTGTCAGCTCTACCTCACTCAGCTGGACAGTGTAGGAAATATAACATGTTTTTGGTGTTCATCAATATGGAAAACTTACCCTTTGCAAAATAGTAATTTTCTATTACTAATTATCTATTTCTATTACTAATTATCTTACCCATTACAAAGATAGCTTCCCCAATTATCACCCCTAATATCATTATCTCATAGACACTAACCTCCCCCAAGCCCCCACTCTGTTCTAAAATCTGATTTGTCAATTTTATGTGTGTTCGCTTTTTTTTGATTGTATCCTTTGGTATATATGGTTGTGCCAATTTTCTTCCACAATTTGATCTGAGGAAGTGGGTCTGGCCCACGAAAGCTCATCACCTAATAAGCCATCTTGTTAGTCTTTAAAGTGCTACATTGTCCTGTCTTTTGCCTTTGCAAACTGTGTGTGCATTTTTCAGAATGAAAACCAAGGTCTTAAGGGTGGTTTTGTAGGATGGTTTTTGCAGGTGATGTGCGTTGTCATTTCGCTTGTGCACGAAGGATTCTGTATAGGATTTTGCTTGTGAGAGGAGGCAAGTATTAGACACGTGGGTCTGCTGGAAAACGGGGGTGGCACTTGGTCAGTCAATATGGGAAGATGGAGGGAGCCCTGATGGTCACTGGTTGGACACCCGAGTTCCATTTGCAGCTCTGCCGCAGGCTGCCTCTTTGACTTCGGGCCAGGTTGGTTTTCACGGGACACTTGCAGCTCCGTCCGATCGGGGGGAGAAATCGTGGCACTTTTGGCTTCGGTGTCTCATCTGTGAAATGGGGATTGCTCCCCGGGGCCTCGTGAGAACGTGAATGTTTGTGAACATCGGTGTAAGCAGCAGAGATGCTGAGTAGGGATGCGAATGTTTAACGCGTCCGGTCTGGAGAGTGGCAACCTGAGGTGTGACCCCAAGCTGGGGCAGTGAGGGGTGTGAATGCGGGAGGGGAGGGGGGACTCAGCTTAGCATCCTCACCCTAAAAATAATTCCAGCACCACTGTTTGTGCAGGCCCGATACCATGGTGATGGGTGTAAGTAAGCAGATGGCAATAGACCTCTATCAAATATAATTTAGTAGCATTGTGCGTCTCCCTCCCCCCTCGTTAGTATCGCCGTGTTCTAATTTCTAGGCCGTTTTGTCAGGCCGTGGCTGGGATGTGGGATGTTGCCTAGAGCTGCGCTGAAGCTTTTTCTGAGCCCTCCTGTTTTCTCTCCGAGCCTGCCATGTCTCCTAGCAGCACCTCAGTGAGTCACAGGCAGCTTGCCTCTCTCTTCCAGCCTCTCCCCCCCCGGGGTGGGGGGGCTTTTAACATGTGCTCCATGGCATTGAAAATGAACCTAACAACCCAGGAGTGTGTGGCCAAGGGCCAGGTGCAGGTTGTGGAGCAGCGGGTCCGCAGAGCCAGGAGGCTCAAGGAAAGGGGGGGAAGGTACGCCCTGTTACAGGACGATTTGGGTTGGGCTGAAGCAGCCAAGGCACGTTACTGACAAACTTCAGATCTGTTTGAAATGCTGGCGGGTCGTGCCGGGAGGGGACGGCGGTTGGAGGGTAGCGTGGAACCGCGCCTCTAAGTCTGAAGTTCAAGGGCCTCACCCCTGCTCCCGGGGAAGCAGGTAGCCTGGTGAGCACAAGGCAGATGTCCTGAGATTTATTTCTTTCTTTTTAAACTGTAGGCCAGTAACCAGAAAGTCGATTCCATGGCGTTGGGCCCAGGTGGCCCTGCAGCCACAGAGGCTAAATCGCAAGGTTCCCCAGTGACGCCTGGCAGTAAACGCTCTGGGCAGTGTGGGGGAGCAGCCAGTGCCCCCCGGCCTCTTCTGCGAAATCCCAGCCAGCCATTAACCCCAGCTTTGGGGAGAGATGGCACTGAGCTGTGGATACAGCCCTTGGGGGGGGGGGGTGCGAGACAGGGCGCTCGGCCCACGGCGCCCCTCCCCTGGCACTGGAGAGGGTGACACTGCCTAGTGGGTCCCCTCACCTCGGTCCCTGCGGCATCGCCTGCGGTGGCCTCCCTCGCTTGCGGGGTGGGCGGAGACGGCCAGGGACGGTGCAGCCAGGAAGCGCGGTGGGAATGGCTGCCCCGGGGGATGTGCAGGAACCTGCAGCCCCGCATGTACCCCCCGATTCCTGGCTCGGGGCTGGGCTGTGGTGGCAGTCACGACAGGGTAGGAAGAAACCTTCCCCCTCTCCTCCCCTCCCCCCCCTTCCCTCTCCCGGGGCAGGGGCGGGGGCGG